CAGAATGCCCCTCAAAATATGCAAGTTTTGAATATTCGTTGGTTGCTTTTTAGTTTTTATGCATGCATTGTATAACGCTATAACGGTTATATTTCACAAAAATAAAAAATAGTTAGAGAAAATCCAACATTGGTATATATAATAGTAGGTGATGTTTTGTAAACTAGTATTTTTTTATGGCATAATGTAGTTAATTTTTATTTTACCATATTGTTACTAKTTGAAAATAGTTAAATACATTAAAATGTTTCATTATGTTATATTTTCTAACAATGATAACTATTTTTAAAATTAGGTAGGTAAACAATGTGCATTATAAATTTTATTGCTTTAATTTAATAATAATTATCATTCGTCCATCGACCACCTTGAATTCTGAATTCTATCTGAAACATAAATATTTTTATTATAACCCCTTGTAAGACATGAATAGGCAATAGAGTATGCAGGAATGCGRTTACCTACCTTATCAGAGTTGATAAGCGCTCAACGTCCGGGAGGCATATAAGCATACCATACATTGCTAGAGACCATAGACATAATAATAAATGGACTGATCGCAGGGGCGCCGGAACCATAGGCGTGTCTAGACCTTTGACGCAGAGGGTGCAACCTGGTGCGAACCCAAGGGACTATAATGGGCATTTGTCCTCTTTTTTGAACAATTTTTCTTAATTCATGGTGCCATTTGAAATCGCAGAGGGTGCAGGTGCATACCCTTCACCCCCCGTGGACACGCCTATGGCCGGAACAATGGGGGCAGTGGGGGCAATTGCCCCCACAAGATAAATACTGTGGGGGCAAGGCCCCCACGACTTCATGGCCTAATTATATTTACATTTAGCCCACAATAGTACAATACCTAAATATTATTCTATAATTTTGTTCAGCAAGTAATATATTATATCTATTARTAATTTAAAATACTAAGAATACACATTGCACCGAGCACAGATAGGAAAAAAAAATCCAAGAAATGCTGCTATGGCATGCGCGTCGCACTTCTATAATTATATTGTAAAACTAATGTAAACATGTTCAATCACATGCAATTCTTATCGCCGCAGTCTCAGCGACAATAATCGCGTTGCGTGTGTGAGAGAAGTTCTATAACATTGGAAAAACAAACGTGATAAAAATCGCCAGTTTTGACTCTGTTGCGTCGCGCCGTATTATTATAAATTTTTATTTGTGTAATTTTGTTCATTACTTCTGCAAGAGACTAGAATAATTGTGAAAAAAAAGTAAGATTTATTTTCAAATTTCAAATATACGTGTCATAATAATTATTAGGTAAATAACTACATTTTATT